GTGTGTGTGTGTGTGGCCAGCTCAGCCCACCAGGGGGCGGGGCTGGCTGGCATGTGGTGCTGGGGGATTGAACCAAGGTCCCTGTGCTTTGCTGAGCTTGTTCTAAGTAGGTGCTTTAGACCACTGAGCCATCTCACCAGCCCAATAAATTTATTTTAAAAAATTAACCTTTTTTAAAAAACTTAATACCTATTTGCATTTCAAGCTTCTCAATGTGTATTTTATTAGTTATTTTTTAAAGTATTGTCTAACTTCCTATTTGCACTTTTTTTTTCTTTTGTCTGATGCTTTTGAACTTTGTGGTTGGTTTTTTAAGTGAAATCCTCTCTAAAATGGCATGAGGAGACCTGGGGAGGGATGCCTCTTGCTCCCTCACATGCCGTGCCTGATGTCCATATGAATGGGTTGATTTGCTTTCTAGGGTTTCTCCAAAGAAATTAAAATACCCAAAACCAAATATGTTGGCTACATCAAGGATTATGAAGGAGCCACTTTAATGGGATGTGAGCTAAACCCACAGATTCCATACACAGAATTTTCTGTCATCATTAAAAAGCAGAAGGAGGTAAGCAGGTCCCCATGATCCTTCCTGCCAGGCCGCCTTAGTCGAGGCGGGCACCATTTCAGTGAGTTCTGGTGTACAGGTGTGCTGCACATCACGATCAGTTAGTTTGACATGGGTCATCTCTCTCCTTTCTAGACCACAATTCCTGCAGGGGGGGGGGTAGTACTGTTAAATGGGTGTAAAATTCAAAATGTATAAAAGACAATGGTGTATTTTGACTTTACCTTTCAAAACCTCGTACATTCTGGCCTCAGTCTTCTCAATTTTCTCTCTCTTCTTTGAGCCCAAGCCAGTCCTCCCAAGGCCATTCTTGACACTTTCGCCCCTTGCTGTCTGCATCCCTCACCTGACCCCTTACAGGCATACCTGTAAGCCAGACCATCTCAGCTGCTTTCCTAGTTTTTCCTTTCTCCTTCTCTAGCACTAGTTTCATCTGCCAGTTTCAGTTTTAATTTGTTGCAGTACATAAGCATTTGTCTTTGTGTGTATTGATTGCCCCTTTTTCAAATTGCAAATTCTGATGACTTATGCCTAAGTATTAGTGGTGTGTTAACTAATATTGAAGTGGCATCTTTTATGCGTATGAACCAAATGAAAATCCATGAGTGGAAACATGGTAGTAATTTTAAATTTCTCAGAGGAATAACGACAGTAGGAACAAAAAACACGTAACCATGGGGCACACAAAGGCCGCTGCTATGTGAATGAGCTCTGTGTGCCGGCCGGCGCCTCCTGCACCCTTCGGCTTGCTGCACTTTGCAGCTGTGTCCTCTCACATCAGTTCCACCCAGTACTTCTGTTATTTGTGACAGAGCACTTTTCCCTAACAAATAACCCAAGAGAAGCATCTGTCTTCAACCCATCTTTGTTTTCGGGTTTCCATCCTTAATCCCAGCTCTTAGTTACTTGTCTGGCTTTACCCACACAACAGCCATAAAGCTTTTTACACGGTGTCTAGTGCATAGTAGTTACTAGCTAAGTGTTTTCCTTTTGTTTAAACCGCCTTAAACTGGTTCTTACGTTTCTGTAGAAGTGTGCAAAAGGCATTCATTTTTAGATTAGAAAATAAATGCAGCTTTTTTTGTTTCTCAGTCAAAGATGTCAGTGTGTGAGAGCATTCTGAAGGGGGCACTGGGAAGAGTTAATAAAACACAACAGGCCCCTGTCTCCTGCTTCTGCCAGAGGGGCTGGCTTTCCTCATTGTTCCCTTTGGGGCTTAATGAGCAGATCCGGATTCAGCAGCACATTGTTCAGCCTGAGAGGCTGCTGGCCAACTAAAGCCATCGCTGTGCTGTCAGCTGCTCTTTCCTCAATCTTCTGCCCAGCAGCAGCAATTCATCCCCAGCATTCCCTGAGAGCAGGATTCCCTTGGCAGGGGCTGTCCATTTTACAGGACCTGCTGGCCCTCCCTGCCATGGAGCACGCCAGCAGCACAGAGCTGTTTTAGATGGCTTACAGAGCTGCCAGCTTCCTAGGAGGCGACTCGCTCCCCCTTCTTTCCTCCTGGCTCCCTCTTCTCTCTCCAACACCTCCCCCCCTGCATGTATTTCTCACATGTACAGTGGAATGGAGAGTGGAGGCCTGCAGCTATGAGCCTGGGTCTGGCACTTAGAAGAGATCGCAGGCCAGGAGTGGTGGTGTGGACCTGGGAGCCCACTGCTCTTGGAGTCTGAGGCAGGAGGACTGCAAGGTTAAGCTCAATTTGTAAGACTGACTTAAGCTTAGTCAAACCCTATCTCAAAATTAAAAGTAAGGGCTGGGGAGATAGCTCAGTGTGGAAGCAAGTGGGTTCAGTGCTAGAGAGAAAGAAAGAAAAAGAGGGAGGTGGGAGAGAAGGGGAGAAGGACAAAGGGAGAAAGAAAAAAATGACATCACCAAAATATTGCTTGGATTGTCCCTTACCCAAAATGCCTGCGCTCTGCAGTGTTTCAGATTTTGGAATATTTACATTGACTTTATTCATCTAGTATTCCCTAATCTGAAATACAGTAAAATCCAAAACTTCCTACTGTAAAAAAGCCCTTGAGTAAGGTAAGGAGTGAAAATGGCAGGAATCTGACTGTACACACTGAGGACTGTCCTAGCCCCTAAAGGCAGGGTAAGGTGAAGTTCTCATTAGTGGAGGTGGGGAAAGGACGTGGGAAGAGTCAGCCAGGTGGATGCGAGAGCGGAGGGCAAAGCGCTGCTTTCCAGCTTTTCCTGGGCAGGGCGGCACCCTCAGGAGTCTGGTTCACACGAGGTGGCTTTGTGAGAGACGTGGAAGCTGAGAACTGGACAGTCTTGTAACGGAATCAGACTCAGGCTGTTTTAAGTAGTCTGAAGGGCACATGAGGAGGAGGTGGGATCGCTGGACATGTGCTTGACGCAAGGCAGGATTTGAAGCAGTGAACGGTCCTGGGCAGACAGGGCTGAGCGTGTGTGGGAGGAGGACACACGTACAGGATCGGCGTGCGTGCGGGTGGTGATTCTTCAGTCTTAATCTCCACGTGCGACTGCAGGCTGTGAGTGTGGAGGAGCCAGAATAAGGATGGGGAGGACAAAGGCTGTTTATTTGTTTGTGTGTTTTGTAAGGAGCCGTATTAGAACTTGGGGACCCAATAGGGATGGGAACCTTCTCCCTTCTAGATCTTTGGGGGAATTTTTTTTTTTTTTTAAAAGCACTTTTTTTTTTTTTAACATTTATTTATTTGTGTGTGTGTGTGTGTGTGTGTGTGTGTGTGTGTCCAGCTCAGCCCACCAGGGGGCGGGGCTGGCTGGCATGTGGTGCTGGGGGATTGAAGCGTGGTCCCTGTGCTTTGCTAAGCTTGCTCTAAGTAGGTGCTTTAGACCACTGAGCCATCTCACCAGCCCTCTTTGGGGGAATTGTAAGACTGGCAGCAGTCATACTGCTAGGACTTGATTTCAGGAGAGGAAGAGCAGGGTGCACTTTCATTTGGGAGATGTTGATTTTGAGTGGTTGAGCCAAGCTATCTCCCCAGCTCCTGTGTTGTATTTCTTATTGGACAGTAGTGATCTGTATTTACCAGGAATGTACATTTACTAGTTCCATTACTTTTATACAGTTCTCTGTGTAACTGTTAGGATTATTATTCCTGTTGTATCAATTGCCAGCCATGTCTGAAATTAAGCAGTTAAGAACTAGAGATTTTGTTTTCTTTTGTTCAGTTAATGACTTACTTTGCTTTCCTAGCCCAAAATTCAGTTAACCATATAGTTAATTTTATGATGGAGATTTTCAAGGGTTTTGTTCTGTTTTTAAAGGAAAATTGTAATACCTTAGAATTACCCACTACAGTAGGAATTACGTTACTATATAAAACATCTCTTAGAATTCTCCTGGTTACTCGTGATATGGTTGTGTTGTTCACCATACTTTACAGTTGCTTTTTGATATAAACAGCCTAGTTTGGAGACGAACCTTTAGAAGCTTAGGTAGTAGGAAGGTTTAGCTATTCCAGAGTTCGCAATGTACTCTTCTGCTCCTCTAGTCTGAAAGGAACAATTCTTAGAGACACAAAAGGTTCTAGACGGTGAAAATGCTTAGGGCTGCTTTCTGGTTAATTCCAGCTGAGGTTCCTTAGAGAACCAGTTCAAGATAATGGGTTCTTATCTAAAATGCAACAAGTGGGCATTAGCGGCAGTGTGTTTTTTCACTATTGCCTTTTCTGGATGGCGGGAACAAGTTATTTGAAGATGGCTGTGTGCATGTCACTTCAGTGGGCGTGGCATAAAAGAGTGTTTTGTTTCTTGCCTGTTCAATGTTGTTCACTTTTCTTACCATCTTTTTTAATGAAAAAAAGGCTTATTTTGTTAGGAAAATTATTCCTTAAGCTCACTGACTCAAACTGTATCATCAAATAGAGGCCGGGGAGACGGCTTAGTAGAAAAAGCGCTTGCCTGGCAAGTGCAAGGGCCTGAGTTCAATCCCCAGTTCCACAAAAAAAAAAAAAAAAAAAGAATCAAATAGAGTTCTTTCAATAACATATTTTCTTCCTCTACTTTACAGATAATTAAAAAGCTGATAGAAAGAAAACAGGCCCAGATTCGAAAAGTCTATCCTGGACTTTCATGTTTTAAAGATGGAGTTCGACAGATTCCTGTAGAAAGCATTCCTGGAATTAGTATGTATAGACCTTTTCTTTTGGTAATGTCATGAGTTGTGTTTGAAGTAATTTCCACAGTGCAGTAATTTGAAAAGTGGTAGTGCCCTTCCTGTTTATATTTGTGTTGTTTCTAGTCTTTTAAAAAGTCAGCAAATGCTTTCTCTTTACTGTCCTTTTTTCTCCTCCCACTTCAGACAAACCAGACGGTTTCCCTCGTTTTTTTATTTTTTAGCAGACAACACCCACCATTTATTGAGAGCATGACGTTTGTAACTACTCATATGTAACTTTGAAAGTAGGGAACTGCAGTGCTTGCAGATGGATACACTGAGTCTCAGAGTGGCTGTGTGCTGTAGCACTAAATGGTACCCCGTCAGTCATGGAGCAGTCCAATTCTGATCTCCTTCAAATGTGTTAGAGTTGCCACCATCATTGTAACCTATAGAGATGTGTACTTGACTCAGTGTCCTCAAACTTCAATTAAAATTATTTGCCGTGTGTGATGGAAGTCATAGAATTTGTTTGAACTTCCTTGTTTTGTACTAGTTTCCCTAAGACTTCTTGTCTGTGTGGTAGCGATGACTTGCATTGGGTTAAGCCACTTCAATATTTTTATATATCAAAAGCTATTGACTATCATTTGGCAATTTTATTTGGTTCAAATCTAGGTCCTTATAGAGTATTAAAGATTTAATAAATAAAACAAAATGAAGCAAACTGAAATTCTCCAGGAAAAAAAAAATGTATTTTCCCAAGATAAATTATTATATCCATCCTAAAGAAGATCTTACTTTTGCTATTAAAAACAGAAATTCTGCTTCCTTATGTTATCCCTAGTAGGGATTAGTAGTGTCATAACCATGTACCCTATCACTTAGTGCCTCTCTATGTCAGGTAGTCTTTTCTTTTTTATAGATATTAGCTAATCTCAAAGGGGTGGTGTCACCTACTTTTTAAAGCCTGTTTTATAGACTGAAAAACAGAGGCAAAGATTATATAGCTTTCTTAGGGGTGAGTTAGTTTTAAAGAGAGCAAGGAAATCAAATCCAGATCTCTAGGCACTCTACACTACACCATCTTGAATTACAAGTAGTAACCTGGCCAAATAAAATAGAGACCGGAAGACAGTTTGCTCTAGCTTACAATAACAGCTTGACTCTCATATGGTGGCTAGAAAATAATTTGATTTACCACTTAAAAATATAATACTGGATCATTATTTATGCTTTCTTCTGAAAGTTGAAGTTCATGCTTTAAAAAACAGCATAAGGCAGTTTTTTAAGTCTGGGGAATTTGCATTGTGAGCTGTATAAAGAAATAAATAACTGCCATTAGTTTCAGTTTCCAAAAATAGACTTTTATTGAGGAATGGCTATAATTTATTACTCTTCCGGTAAGTATTAAGTTTGTTATTCTCTTGACCAAAAGCAGTTCTCATTTAGTGTTTAATTTTGTTGACATATAGGAGAGACAGGCTGGAAACCGAGTGGAAAAGACAAAAGGTGAGTAGATGGGCAAGAGGATGCTAATGGAAGTGATTTTTTTTTTCCTCTACCAGCAATTTAGAGAACAAGGGCAGACCAATTGTAATGAGTAATACAACAGTTGGTGGGTTTCAATTTTCATAAAGTGCTCTGGAATGGTTTCAATTTTAGGTTTTTGTAAGAATGAATTGAATAATAATCAGCTGGCAAGAGGGTGAATACTAATCCTTGCTGCTTGTTGTTTATTCTTTTCCTTTCAAGTAAAGAGCCCAAAGATCCTGACCAGCTTTACAGCACACTGAAGAGCATCCTCCAGCAGGTGAAGGTGGGTGCTGGCTTTGTTTACTTGACACAAATATTTTGAAATGATTTCCCACATTAATTTCTATATTAGATACCTTACTTTTTTCTTTACCCAAGAGCCATCAAAGCGCTTGGCCCTTCATGGAACCTGTGAAGAGAACAGAAGCTCCGGGATATTATGAAGTTATAAGGTTCCCCATGGGTAATGCCATTAAAATTTTCTAAGTATACATTTGAAATTCTCTGGATGGCAGTGTCAGGGACAGATGGTTGTGGAAGTTGGTTTGCTCTCCTCTTTGGTAGGGTAGGAAGTATATGATGGGTGGTGGGATTCTTTGTGTCTTTGGAGGAGCAGTGGGTGACTGTTCATCATAGACATTCACCAGCTGTCTTCCATTTTTTAATTTTTGTATTGGGAATTGACTCAGGACGGCGGCAGGCACTTGTGTCCCTGAGCTTTGTCCCGGCCCTCATGGCTGTCTTTTACAGTGTATGCATACTCCACACTCTTTACACACCCGACTCAGGATGTCTAGGTGGGGATCTGGACTGCTGATAGTGCTGGGTTTGGGAGCTAGTTGTTTGGACATAATTTTGTTGACTCTCTCTCTCTCTGTCTCTCTCTCTCTGTCTCTCTCTGTCTCTCTCTCTGTCTCTCTTCAAATGGGAAAATACCATATTTTGACCTTTTTATATGTTTGAGTATATCATAAGTGGCTCTTTTGAGAATTTTTCAAAGTAATATGAAAGAAGGTAGATTAATCTGCTTGACTGCTTTACTTTTTTGAAAGAAATTGTAGTTAGTGTAGTTCTTGGTGTTCATGCTTTTGATGGATGCTATTAATGTCAGCATTTATTATTATTACTATTAATTATTGTGTGTATGTGTGTGTGGTACTGTGGGTTACATTCCTAGCCCCCAATCTCTCTGTTTTATTTCGAGATAGGGTCTTGCTAAGTCACCATGCTGCCCAGGCTGGGTTTGAAGTTGCATACTATGTAAGCTTTGTGCTCATCCAAAACCAAAAAGAAGGTGCTTTCAGAAATGTAGAATTGCAGAAATTGATGCTGTGCCTAAGCCGTGACACAGGAGTGATTAACTGAATCAAGAGCCCCAAATTAAATGTTTGGCAACATGCCGATGACAAGAAGCTGAAACGAGAGGCAGAGTCTTCTGTTTCTTTTCTTCTTCTAATCTGTTCCAAAATAGGCAAGGAGGGATGAAAGGGATCTACTTACTACTCTGGTGGTTATTTACCAGTGGCATTAATTTTGCACATTATATATGGTTATAGTCATGATTTAAATAGCCTTTCCACATTCTATATCTGTATGCTTTTCTTTTCCTCTTCTTTCTGCCTTGCTACTGTGTGTTGTGTAAGACAGTGAGACTTAACTGAACTCAGAATTCTGAAAGGGTGATTTACAACTTAATTTCTACTGTGTGAAAAGTATGTCCTAATTCTTTGTGGACCTTCAGTGGTTCTTTTCATCCTCTGGGACATCTCAACACCTTTTTTGGTATCATCGAGCTATAAGCCTAGCTTCATCTCAGGCTCTTTGGGGAAATCCTCCTGGGAGGTTGTTGAGTTTTTGGAGAGAATAATTCCTTTCCTGTTTAGCCGCTGTGGATATCGACTCTAAAGACCTGCATTGGGAGGTCTGTTGTAAACTACTCATTGTTCTTTTTTTAAACTACTCATTGTATGAGAAGGGTGTGAGCCTCTCCAGTTGGATATTGGCTATCTGTATAGCTGAGTGCTCTTGAGGAGAAAATTTACCTTCTTGAGCAAAGCCATTTATAACTAAGATGTGTCCTAGACAAAATTAATTAAACCAGTAAAGGTGCTCTTTAGTGGACCAGAAGTTGTTTTTCTTGGATGCCTTCAGATGCTGAGCAAATTGTGTATTCCTTCTTGTAAGATGGTCATGTTGTTGAAGACAAGATTGACAAGTCAGTAATTTTACATTTTCCTATTAATGCTTTTTTGGATATTTTCAAAAAATATTTCTTCTGTCTTCCCCATATTCTGAATACTTTTCTCTCAGATGGATGGGGTCCAACTTCTTTCACTTAGGGAGTTGTACAGTGGGCATTGTCTGAGAGTGGTCAAACCAACCGTGGCTTCTTCCTTGGGGCTAGGCGGGCAGGGTTTTCATGTTTTCCTGGAATTCACAGGCCGGGAGGGGCAGGAGGAATGAAAATAGAAGACTTTCATGGTGTCTTTATTTGGTGCCATCAATATTTAGTCATGGTTTTAACGTTTGCCATTTGTTCAAATGAAAAAATTTAAGAAAGCAAAAAGAAAGCTGGCACTTATAGCTTTAGGATAGAAAAAATATATAGTAAGGAAGTATTTAGAATTGATTAAATTATCCATGAACATCCAATTACCTGTTATTCTTGCTTTGTTTCTCGTCCTCCTCCTCCTCCAAACAGACAACAAAACAAAACAAAAAAGTACCTCTAAAAACAAAAAGCCTTTTATACCAACTTCTTTGTGTCAACTTTCATGCAATTGTTCCCTTATTTATTTATTTAGATTTTTTTTTTTTTTTTTTGGCTATGTGTTTCTTTTAAAACATTCTAGGCTACCATGGCTTTTCTTACCCTGCCCTGTGTCCTTCGGGGGTATGCTTTTATCTTGCCTTTTCTTCTTTACTTAATCAAAGCTTGTTCTGTAGTGCTAGTTTCTCCCTCACTCTTCACATTTACTTTTTCAAATAAAATTTGGCACAACCACCATTATATTCATGCCAGTCCTGGCCCCAGGCATGCTAAATTGGCCATTGAATCCTGGCATGGTGGAGCATACCTGTAATCCCAGCGCTGGGAGACTTGAAAACAGGAGGATCACTGCAAGTCTGAGGTGTGTGGTGAGACCCTGCACAAAATACATTTTTAAAAAAAGCTTATTAAGGGGCTGGGGATCTGGCTTAGTGGTAGAATGCTTGCCTGGCAAGCTGGAAACCCTGGGTTTAGTCCTCAGCACCAAAA